TTCCCTTTTAAATCCTGATTTCTTACCCTTGAGTATGAGATAGTACGGAAGTCCATTCCAGTATACAATAGCTCTGTATAATACAGTTCTTTTCAGTGCATTTGTTCTAGGTCGAGGTAGTCTAAAACGACAGCTTAAGGCCTGTCTGGTATTATAATCATGTGTGAACTTGGTAGGTACTAGTAGAGAAAACAGGCTACTGGGTTTACGTGAATTACAAATATTATTTAAATACAAAATAAGGCTGCATGCTAATCTCTCCTCCACTTTCATCCAGGAGAGTTTATCATGCATAGCATTTACATTATTCTTAATAGAACAGTGAAGTGCCAGTCATGCAGCTCTATTCTGAGCAACCTGGAGTTTAACAAGTTCTTTTTTTGACGTGCCAGACCAGATTGCTGGGCAGTAGTCAAGGTGGGACAAGACTAATGATTGAATAACAAGTTTAATCGTTGTGTCAGTTAAAAAACATGCACATCTTCTAATGTTTGAAATACTTTTACTCATTTTGCTGACTATGTTCTTTATATGTGTAGACCAAGATAATGTTTCATCTATGGTAATGCCCAGCAATTTGGCTTCTCTAACTTGCTCAATAGCTGCACCATGTAATGATAGGACCAACTTCTGATCAGACCGAAGTGAATAGTTAGAACCAAGTACCATACATTTTGTTTTAGAAATATTCAATTTTAGCTTGTTTGCTATAACCCAATCAGATATCAGTGTTAGCTCATGTTGAAGTGTCTTATTAACTTGCTCAGTACTGCTAGCGGATGCAAAGATGGTTGTATCATCCGCATACATTGTCATACCCGCATTTCTCAATACGTAAGGCATATCATTTACAAAAATAGAATAGAGAAGAGGTCCGAGGCAGCTTCCCTGGGGAATACCACACTGAAGCGTCTCTATATCTGAAAAAGCACCATTAAACATAACACACTGTCTCCTGTCAGTCATATAGCTTCTCATGAAATTAATCACAGCGTTTTTAAAACCATAGGCTGACAGCTTCAAGAGTAACAGTTCATGGTCAAGTCCAGAAATACAACACCTACAGCTGACTTCCTATCTGTGTAAGCAGGTCATCAGTGAGACATGTCAGTGCAGTGCTAGTGGAGTAGCCTTCCTTATATGCATGCTGGAAATCAGAGTTCATATTATTTACTTCAAAGTAATGCTGAATTTGCTTAAACATAATTCCCTCTAATAGTTTACTTAGCACAGGTAATATACTTATTGACCTGCTGTTGTGCCCTGTAAGTGGCTCTCTACAGTTTTTTTGTCAGAGGAGTGACTTTTGCAATCTTCCATACATTTGGATAAATAGATTCTTTAAAACATAGATTGAAAATGTGACACAGTGGTTTTGCTATTACTCTTGCTGCAAGCTTTAGAAGTTTGCCATCTAAATTATCCAACCCGCAAGGTTTGTCACACTTAATTGTCAGAAGAAGTTTTTCCATATCCTCCTCTCTAAGAGTTTTAAATTCAAAGCAACAATCGTTATTAACTATAATGTGATTCCTTAGCTATAGATAGCTATAGATTGTTAAAATTGAGTTGTCTGCATGTTGTTTCATTACATTATTTACTGGCATTGAAATCTTTCTTTTTATGTTGCATATATTTGTAGTGCTTTGTCATAAACTTCTGACATAGAAAACTTTAAATTTGAGACTTAAATAACTGCACTGCAGATGAAAGAGTAGATGATAAGAACAGGGTTTATTTTAAAGTTTTGTCATACATGACGTACCCTTAAAGGTCCAGTGTGCAGGATTTAGGGGGACATATTGGCAGAAGTGTAATTTAAAATAATATGTGTATTTTCTTTAGTGTATCATCAACTGAAGATAAGAATTGCTGTGTTTTTGTTACCTTAGAATGAGCTGCTCATATCTACATAGGCAGCAGGTCCTCGTTTATGGAGATCACCATGTTGCACCGCCATGTTTCTACAGTAGCCCAGAATGGACAAACCATGGCTCTAGATGGGTCCATGTGCATGTCAGACTTATTCAATGTAAAATTGCTTTATTTAGTGTTTTTCCTTGTTTAAATTATCAGGTGTATTTGTTTCGGAGAGGAAGAGACCTCTGTGGATAATTTGGCTGATGGTAAAAACCTTACGAATATCTGGATCTTAAGTTATCAGAGAAAAAAGGTGAGCACAGATTAGCAGGTGCTACGCTAGCGGCCCATCTCGGACATGCCAAAAATACCATCATAGAAACCCTGATTTCCCACATTATTCAGTGTTTTTGCTGGTTTTAATCACTTAGTTAATTTGTTTTGGAGAGCTAGAAACCTCTGCGGATAATTCAGCTCACAGTAAAAACCTCCTGAACCTTTGCATCAGAAATAAGATGAGCACACGTTAGCATGTTGTGGGTGAGCCACCGTCTACGACATGCCAAACAGACTAGGAGAAACACTGATTTTCAATATGAAACTGCTTTATTCAGCGTTTTTACAGAAAGGAAGAGAACTCTCTGGATAATTGAGCTCCTGATAAAAACCTCCTGAACAATGAACACTACAGGAATTCCAGCCAGGAGAAGTTTCAGATGGTTGCAATCTGCAATCCTCACTTTTAGATGCCACTAATTCCCCCTGAATCTACACACTGGACCTCCAAGACTTTTCAAGTCTTTGGTTTTAAACTGTTGTGAGAGCAGGCGCCAGAGAAGAAAACGGAGGAAAAAAAAAAAGGCAAAGTCAAGTCATGAATCAGTGAACTAAGTCACATACTGTCCCAAATCGCACACAGTGAGCGTCTCATATGACCCCGCTGTGTTGTCACTCCATTCTGTCCAGCACAACGGAACAAATGTCAAAAAATAAAGAGGAAGTGATTATCTGAACAGCTGCTGTCCTTATCAGACGCTCTTTTCTGCACCCTTTTATTTTGAAACAAGGGCAGTTACGCAACCCGAAAAACAACGGAGAGAAGAAAAGTGTAACTCTGTCCAAATGACCGGTAATCACAGCTAAGTATTTGGGCCAAAGGTGCTTCTGGACTTTGGACCGGGCCCCGAGAGTCTCCGCAGCTCCCCTGGGCCCATGAGAAAGCTCTGGGCTCCCCCGGGGGTTAACGCTATCTGGGCTTGGCTCCAAACTAAAGCCCCAGGCCACGCCGGGAGCCTTGAGAACTGGCCTCTCTTATCTCAGGGAAGCACACTGGAGGAATTGCAAGCACCTCCGCCCCCATCGGCTACTGGGCTTTGTTCAGTGTGAAGCCACACACACACACACACACACACACACACACTGGGGCCAGTTTGTGTTAGCTAGCTTTGAAACAAGCCACAGCGGACACACTGGAGTTTCTTTGTATAAATGTTTGGATACTGTGCCGTACATTTTTTGAACATAATTGCATAATGTGTAACTTATGTTCAAATGTGGGCAGCTATTGTGAATGCTAGTGTATTTTTGGGTGTAATTTGTCAGGGTCGGGGATCGGGAGTGGCCTGAGACGCAGGAAGAAGCTGCACTCGTTTGTTTTGGCCCTGAGCCAAAGCTTCAAGAAGGAAAAGAAGCCTGATGCGTGCACACACACACACAGAAACCCAGAAACACACACACACATTTATAATCAGTGTGGAAAGAAAGAAATAATTTTTTTTTTTTTGTGTGTCTCCCCGCAGGCTGCAGCAGCAACTGTGACAGCGATGAGGACGGACAGATGGACAGTCTGTACCTGAAGTCTCTAGAGGGCTTCATCACCATGGTAACATCAGACGGCGACATGATATTCCTGTCCGAGAACATCAACAAATTCATGGGGCTCACGCAGGTACACAACGGTCAGGGAAAACAAAGATCAGAACAAAGCAGACGTGCACTCGTTTGAAACTGCAACGCTTCACAGTATAAGTGATGAATGTGAGTCACTTCACTCGTAGCGCTCGCTCCTCCAGTCCTCTTCCAGGATTTGTTTTTAGCACAGCATGTAAGAAACACTCGAGGCAGACATAACAAATGTCACAGTAAAGCAATCAGCCACAACATTAAAAGTTAATATCATTGATCATCTCGTTACAATACAGTGTCATACCACAAAACCTCCTCAAGAATGACCCAAGTAACGTGACAAAGAGATCAAGGCGTCAACTTGGCCTCCACATTCCCCAGGTCCTAATTTGATCAAGCATCCATGGAGCATGCCGGTACCCCAGCAGTCCTGTGTCTATGCCTCATCAAGTGTAGGGTCTCTGACCTGCAAAGGCATGAGCCCTTTTTAAAAAGGAATTGTGCAAATTTGCAGGAAAGCCCAATCAGTCTTTTTTCAGCATTGGCAGTATAAAAACAAAATCGGGGAGTGCAGCAAAATGCTGCCTGCCTACTTTTGTTTATACAGAATGTGCCTTTTTCGGGGCAATCCGGCTCTGTGTGTCTAAACGCTTGCAGCTTGCCGGCAAAACGGCCCAACATTCGCCAAAAATCTGGCAGTGTAAAAGGGGCTATTGACCACCAGACAATTGGTGATGGATCTCTTTTGTTCTGTAGGTTGCGAGGTGGGGTACCAACATGTCCGACAGATGCTTGATCAGAATTGGGGACTTTGGAGGCCAGGTCGACTCCTTGAGCCTTTTGTTAAGTTGTCAAGCAAAGGTGCCATGCCACACCGCAAACACTGCTCAGAAATGGTCAGAGATACTTGACAAAGAGCTCAAGTGTCGACCTGGCCTTCAAAGTCCCCAGATCCCCCTCTGATCAAGCATCAGTGAGACATGTTGTTACCCCACTACACAACACACAGGATCATCTGACAATACACCACAGAACACCCCCAGAGGTGCTGTGTCCATGCCTCGATAGGAACAGGGTCACTGCTATCAGGGAGCACCATTGTCATGAGGGAGGGTACTTGGTCTGCAACGGTTTTTTTTGGTGGACATGAATGTCAGAACCCAAGGTTTCCCTGCAGATCGTTGAATTGCACTGAGACGATCGATGTTATTCAACCAAACGTCATTATTATATTACACTATTTGCTGAAATGCAGTCAATCCTATTAAACCAAAGAAAAAAAGGTGTAAGTATGGTTGTGAATTTTTTTTTGCCTCAGATATTTTATCAATATTTTTTTCAATTTATTGCATTTTATTTATTCTGTCACCAGCAGCATATATACTATACAGCAACTGTAACAGTCACGATGAAAAAAAAAATAAAATAAAATAAACAATGGTGTAAATATGGTTATGACATTTTTTTAACCTCAGATATTCTATCAGTATTTTTTTTTCAGTGTATAAATTTTATTTTATTCTGTCACCAACAGCAGTTTTACTGTACAGTAACTAACATTAGTGACGACAAAAAACTAAATTTAAAAAAAAATCACAAAACTAGAAAGAAATGAAAATTAAAAAAAAAAAAAAAATTTAGATTCTATCCAAAATTGTATGAGTTAAAAACAAAAATTGAAACAAACTCTTCTGCATAAATTTAAACCACGAAACAAGATAAAACACTCCAACTTAATTTAACTTTTTTCCACAGAGGTCCTGTCCAGAATTAAATAAAACTAGCTGCATGCAGATTCTATTATTTTAGTTCTTTGGTATTTTACAAATATGAAATTTATAATTAAATATCTCTCCTACTTCGTACAGTGAAAAGTATTTACACCCCCATTTTGTAACATATAAATTATTTGTTTATGGTTTAATATAATTTAAAAGAGAAAAGAAGAAATAAGGAGGACATGAAGCCGGGCAGGGAGACGGTGATGACCATCAGACATGGATGTAAAGTGTCAGTCAGACGAGCCTGTTGTGTTTGTGTGAAATACCTCTCATGCCAGCAGTGTGTGTGTGTGTTCAGGCCAGACACTGACGTTCCAACACTCAGCAATTTGTCATTCGCTGCCACAGACTGGAAAAGCAAATCACAGAAGGGGTGAAGTTTACTGTCAAATGTGGAGTTCTGCGGTGACGAGCTTCTGTTTGTTTTGAAGCAACTTGAGTTTCGAGAAGTGACACACATTGTTTTATTTGTTCAGTCCTGTTGGCTGTCATCACTCACACTCTGTTGCTGCTGCGAGAAGTGAAAAACAGAGCACATCTGAACCTGTTGAGTGTTGAGACAGAAACAACACAGATGTAAAAATGTTATTGTGTCTGTTCATTAAATTAAGTTGTTTGCATTTTTTTAGGTGGACCTCACTGGTCACAGCATCTTTGACTTCACACATCCGTGTGACCACGAAGAGATACGAGAAAATCTCAGCCTGAAGACATCTGGTCAGCACAAACCCTCACCCACACACCTGATATCCTCATCCAAATTGCCCTGCCTACTGTTGCTGCTTCCTCTGCAAGCCGCTTTGCAACCTGCCTCCACCCCAGCACCTCCTTGCTGCTCTCCCTGCCTTAGGCTTTCCACGTAGGCGCATGGAAGGGCAGGGAGGTTTGCTCTCTCTGCCTCAGGCTTTCATGTGACTAAATGGTCCTGACTGAAGTAACATTTTGGCCTGAGAGTTAAACGTATAGTGTGGAAAGTCCCGAACAGAAGGAGTTGAGTCTCTGGGGAGCATGCGTTATGACAGAAATATTCAAATGTTAGCCAGTAGTTTTTCAGACACCTTGTCGTAGTAAAATTTTTGCCAGAAGAAATTTCATGCGAATACAAAAATAAGTAAAATGAACTGCACTCCAAACATTTGGACATTTGGCCCCTGGTTTGTGGAGACTTGTTGCCAAAACTTGTACGACATTTAAAGCCAACATTTACTTCGTAGAGAACAGAATTGCGAGATTTGACAATTTTGACTTTATAACTTGTGTAAGGCCTTAAAAGTAGTTAAAGGAGTTTAGTGTTCAATTTTAAGTTCATTAGAAATGCTGGCGTGTTGGTGTCACCAGAGGAAAGGTCCTCTGAGGGGGATAATGCACAGTAAGCTTCAGGGTGCTTCATCAGCAGTTATCTTATCTTGCTCTTGACCAGTGTATCTGATGGACTTACAGACATCTCTGAGCTTTGAGGACTTGTTCACACGCATGTGTGTATTTTTAAAATGTAACTTTTTCTATGCATTTTGCCTTTTTGCCCGACAAGTAAACTGTGTTTTATTTTTTCTTTAGTTTTTCAGGCTTCTCATTGGCCTTATTTTCCTTCTTGTTCTTCATCATGTTCTTCGCCACCACCTTCTTCTTTGCTGCCACAGCCTTCCTGTTTTTCGCTGCTGCTGCTTCTTCCTCTTTGCTATCGTCTTCTGTGTCTTTTTCTTCACCTTCTTCGGCTTCTTCTTTACCTTCTTCTTTCTCCCCCTCACCTTCTCCTTCTCCTTTTTCTTCTTCGTTTCATCTTACCGGTCTTCTCCGTTTTGTTCTTGTGCTTGTTGCTGTTCTTATTCTTTTTATTCTTCGCCACCCCCTTCTTTTTCATCGTCGCCTTCTTCTTAGCCACTTTCTTCATCTTCACCTTCTTCTTCGGCATTGCCTTCTTCTTCCTTGGCTTTGCCTACTTCTCATTCTTCTTCTTTCTCACCCTCTCCTTTGCCCTCTTTTTTCTTCCTCACCTCATCTTCTTCTTCTCCTCCTTTTTGTTCTTGTGCTTCTTTGTATTCTTTTTGTTCTTTGCTACCCTCTCTTCGTTACAAACTTTCTTAGCCACCTTCTTCTTTACTTTCCCCATCTTTGCCTTCACATTCTCTTTGTCTTCTTCTTCACCTTCTTCTTCGCCTTCTTCGCCACCTTCTTCTTTTTCTTCTTCTTCTCCTTTGCCTTCTTCGCCTTTTCCATCCTCTCCTTTGCCGCCTACATGTGCTGCTGTTACATAATGTCATCTATCTCACGAGCAAGTGCCCAGAACAAACACAGGAACAGAAGGTCAGAGACCATATAGAGGGAGCCTAAAGACAGATACAGTATAGGAGTGTGTGTGTGTGTGTGTGTGTGTGTGTGTGTGTACACGCAATGACAAGGGAAAGCAAATGACGATAAGAGATGTGAGCGTGAGGACAAGAAGACGCTGAGAGGAACTGAGCATTATCTGTTGCTGATAGTGGAAAAGGTATGTTAGGGTGTCTGTAGCAGAAAGTCACACAGGATACAGTGCAGAGGAACGTAAGTAAGAAAGATACGCACAGACTGTGTGCCTCAAAAGAAACGACTACAACTGTGGAACACTGGGAAATAATAAGTGTGACTTACAAAGCTTTATATGAGGGAAAAAAAGCTCTCTGTCTCATGTTCACATGCTCGCACAATCACACTCACTAAGCTGCGGTTTGATAACTCTTATCAGCAGTGGCCACAAAACACACAAGTAGAACAGGACCGTATATTTTATGGCCCTTTTCCTTTTAACACGCTTTGAGAACTCACACATTTTCCCCCAGTGAGGACGAGATACATTTCTTTAAATTGTTTATCTTGTATCAGTGTAGCTGTATAAAGATAAAGACACACTTGTGAGTGTTGCGATCGACAGAGACACACTTCACCACTTTGCTCCGTGCCTGCAGCTCTGAGGCTGAACTCCGACCTCATGATGTAACAGCTTGGCCAAATTTCCTATTGAGTGTGTGTGTGTGTGTGTGTTTGGATTTGGGGGAAGGGTCAGCTAGTGTAAACCTTGACCATTTTCCCAGTCACATAAGGGAAGGAGAGATAAGAGTAGGGTTAAGTGTTTTTATTTCAGGCAATTTTGCCACTAAAATAAGAACAACAGCTCACGATTAGTCACAGGCAGGAAACGTCATGAATTTTTGAACTTAACAAAACAAACATTCGATGAACTTTACGTATAATTCAAATAAAAAACTGGCTCAGATGAACTTAACATGCCACAGACTGGGTAAGAGTCAGTTTGGGCTTCTAGAGGTGAAGTGTGTAAGATTTAGGGGGAACTGGAATTGTCGGCCAGAATTCCTTCAGTGTTTAAGTTTTAGCGGGTGCAGAATTATCCACAGACGAAACCAACCAGACGATTAGAATTGCTAAAAACACTGGATAAAGCAGTTTAACGTTACAAATCAGTGCTTATTCTGACACTATTCGGCACCTTGGGGCTCATCCACAACATGCTGTTTGTTTTCTGATCCAGACGTTCAGGGGTCAGGGTCAAACACAGAATAACACAGTTTCATGTTACAAATCATTGTATTTTCGACAGACTTTGGCATGTAGCTACGGACAGCTAGTCCAACACATGCTAATGTGCAGTCACCTTTTTGCTGATAACATAAGATCCTAACGTTCAGAAGGTTTTCACCGGAGGCCAAGTTATCCACAAAGGACTCTTACTCTCTAAACGAATGGACCAGGTTATTTAAACCACTAGAAACATGGTATAAAGCAGTTTCACGTTACATATCAGTGTAACTCTGGCGCTACTCACTACGGAGACTGATGCGAAAACATGACATTATACTGTGTGTGAAATCTGTTGTTACTTACAAGTAAAATATTAACACGTTCGTTGTTTTTTGCTGTGACTTAAAGGATAAGAGCATTAAAGGTTTCATGTGTGTCATAGAAATGAAAGTTGCAAAGAAAAAGCATGTACAATTAGTGCATTTTAAGGCTTTAAAGGGATGAAATGGAATATAATAAGTATGTTTCCCTTAGTGTATAATCAAATGAAAATAAGAATCGTTGCATTTTTGTTACCGTAGAATGAACCGATTGTATCTACATAGGCAGCAGGTCCTTATCTGTGGAGATGAGTTGCACCACCATGTTTCTACAGTAGTCCAGAACGGACACACTAAACTCTGGCTCTAGATAGGTCCTTTTGCATTTTTGTGTCAGCCACTGTAGTTAAGAGCCCCTCTGTGACGAGAGCATCGTAAAAACACTGATTTTTTTTTTTTAAGTTTAGATCATTGGGCCAATTTGTTTAGGTGAGGAGTAGTCTCGCTCACCAGACCTTTCTCAAGAAAAGAAAGGTCTGGCTGGGCTGACTCTCACTTTAAGATTGGAGAAAAAAACGCTCCGGCTTTTTTTATTTCTTTCAACCAATCACAATCGTTCTGGGCGGTGCCACAGCAACGGTGCGCTTGCAAAAATATTGCCGGGGGGAAACAGGTTTTGGTGTAACACGCCCACAAAAATATTGCCTACAGGACGCGAACCATGGCAGAAAAATGGCTACATCCCCGCAAGATCAAACACCGCAAAAGTTAGTAAAGGATGTGTTGAAAACTGCTACACAACCAGAGGTGGTAGGGCGGGACTTCAGCGGGTGGCTCGTCCGAGTCCGACGTGCTAAATGGCATCACAGAAACAGATTTGTTACATGAAACTGCTTTATTCACTCATTTTACTGGTTTTAATCACCTAGTCCGTTTGTTTTGGAGAGGAAGACACCTCTACGGATAATTCAGCTTGTGGTAAAAACCTCCCAAACACTGAAGGAATTCGAACCAGGAGAAGTTTCAGCTGGTTGCAATCTGCAATCCTCACCACTAGATGTCACTAAACCCCCTGAATCTAACACACTGTTCCTTCAAGTGTTACAGATATGTTGATTGTTGAAGCACTGACACTAGAAAAAACATGCCTTTTAATTTGTCCTGCATTACATGTGATGAAGCGCAGTTTCATTCTTGAAAGTTTAACATAATTTTATTAACTTTAATACTTTGTCAAAATGAGTTCAACTCTTGTATCTCAGAGCCCACATTTGGGATGTTACAACTCAACCTACAACTGAACCTAATATTTTCTTTTCAGGCAGCGGCTTTGGTAAAAAAGGCAAAGAGCTGAGTACAGAGCGAGATTTCTTCATGAGGATGAAATGCACGGTGACCAACAGAGGACGCACCGTCAACCTCAAGTCAGCCAGCTGGAAGGTAAGAGCACTGCAGCAGCTACAAGTTAGCACGCCTGCAACATCTGCACCTCATGCATGCAGGGTGATAAGAGAAACACATCACAAGTGTTTTGTCCTTCTCAGACTGATTTATTTGAATAAGAGGCCTGAGGAGGTGAAATGATCAAGTAATTTAAAAGAGAAGGCAAAATAAATAGACATAATTTTGTGTTATAGAAATATCCTTTTTATGTTTCCTGTCCTGTTAATGATCTCCCAACAAGTAAAATTTCTTATGCGCTCCCCAGATAAGTAAAAAACCACCATCGAAACATAAAATAAATACATACAACAGAAAAAGATCTTTACAATTAAAACATCACGTCAGTATCAGCTGCTAGTGTCAGAACACACAAGATGCAAGCCATCCTGTGACCTTCAGCTTCACTGCCACACTGTAAGTTCCTGCTGCTCCCTCCAGGTGCTGCATTGCACCGGTCACCTGAAGATGTACAACAGCTGCCCTCCGCGAGTGCTGTGCGGCTTCAAAGAGCCTCCGCTCACCTGCGCTGTCCTGATGTGTGAACCCATCGCACACCCATCAAACATCGACATACCGCTGGACAGCAAGACCTTCCTGAGCAGGCACAGCATGGACATGAAGTTCACCTACTGTGACGAGAGGTAGACGCACACAGTCACACACAGTGTGGGGTCAGCTGACATGACGGAAAGTGAGAAAACCCCACATAATGTTTCTTGACGTGATTTAAGAATTACCTAAACAACAGATTTGCTTATCATCAATGAGCTGGCTGAAGGTACTTGTTATCCCTCATGTAGGCCATGGTCAGAGGCATTATGTTTTCAGAATGTCCATTTGCCTGTACGTATATCCGTCTCATTCTCATGAATGCAGATCTCAAGAGGGTCTTGAGGGAGTTTCCTCGAATTTGGCACCAACGTCCACATGGAGTCAAGAATGAACTGATTAGATTTCGTTGGTCAAACGTCATTGTGACCTTGCATGTGTCTTGTTCTTATAAACGCAAAATCTCAAGAAGGCCTTGAGGGAATTTCCTCATATTTGGCACCAACGTCCACATGGAGTCAAGAATGAACGGATTAGATTTTGTTGGTCAAATGTCATTGTGACCTTGCATGTGTCTTATTCTTGTAAACGCAAAATCTCAAGAAGGCCTTGAGGGATTTTCCTCAAATTTGGCACCAACGTCCACATGGAGTCAAGAATGAACTGATTACATTTCGTTTGGTCAAAGGCCACTGTGACCTTGCATGTGTCTCATTCTTGTATCTCATTTTTGTAAACGCAAAATCTCAAGAAGGCCTTGAGGGATTTTTTTCAAATTTGGCACCAACGTCCACTTGGACTCAAGAATAAGCTGATTAGATTTGGAGGTCAAAAGTCAGAGGTCACTGTGACCTCACAAAACACCTTTTTGGCCATAACTCAAGAATTCATCCACTAATCATGACAAAATTTCAGAAAATGTCTAAAAGGATAAAATGATGAGGTGATGACATTTATATCCCGAAGGTCAACTTCACTGTGACATCATAATGTTCTGCAAAAGCACTTTTCTGGCCATTACTCAGCGTCATATCTCAGGAACAGAGGGGGAGACATTTGGTCAGAAACTGAATCGGTGCTGTGCTGACTTTATAGATCTGTGCTGTCGGGGGGAAGATGTTTGTGAAGCATCCATGTTTCAGAATTTGTAGGTTCTTTTCAGTAACATCCATATTTTAAATGTTGTCAGTTGTCATGGCTACATAGGAGTCTGGACAGACATGGATGTAAACTGTAACTGGACAAGTTTGTGGCAGCATGCAACCACGAGGCGGCAGTTCTCATTTGTTTTGTTTTTTCCCTTTCAGATCATTAAATTATGCATAAACTGTGCATGAGAGCTCAATATGAAGTCACAGAGGCCTTACAGACCATTATAATTATCTTTGATAAATCTTGATTAATTTTTTTGTTCGGATTACTCATTAATAATTTACTCTGTAAAATGTCAGAAATTACAGTTAGAGCCTAAAATGATGTTTTAGAATTAATAAAAAACACAGCACTCATTTTACAGCCATATGAAACAAGTGCAAAATAAATCACCACATTTTAGAGCCTGAACCCAGAAAATACACTTGAAAAACGACTTAATAGAAAAATAATTACTGCACTCACAAGTCTTTAAAGAACGTCAGTAGAGTTCAGTAGAACAGCTTCATGTTGTGGACAGCTGCCAGTTAAAACACAGTCCTTGAAGTGCAACATACACTCACACACAAGACTCTCTGACTGATTGCAGTGTGTTGACTGAGTCAGTTTTACTTGGCCGGGCCGTCAGTGGGAAATGTAAGCCAGAGATGAAACATTAATACTTTAATAAGATGCCGTCACGACATCATCAGACTGTTCCAAGTGTTTGTGATCGTTGAGACGAGAGTGAACAAGCCCACAAACAAATTCCACTGTTTAAAAGTTGTCATTGAAGGCGTTTTCATATTAGTTACAAATGATCTGTAAAGTGCCTGAGTGCGATCCCCACCCCTTTGCCCATTCCCCTGTCGCTCAGCTGTCACATCAGTAATGTCATCTCATACCCGAGTACACTTGCGTCATCATCTGTGTGACCTCGATGACGACGCCAACTCCATTACACGCACAGCAGCCATCAGGCACCCTTTCTCTTTCTCTGCTTATTGGTGCAGTTTGATAGCCGCCCAAATCTTCTCTCCAATTACGCAAATGAGTTTATTGTAGGTGGGTCGCCCTCCTGGCTCAGCAGGGACTCCGACTCATTAGGGACAGGAGGACAGAAAGTTTGTTCAGCTCATGTCTGGCAGTTTGACAGGTCGAGTACAGAGAGGGAGCAGGGAAGGAGGGGAAGAAAAAACTTCTCCCTCAATAGAGAAAGAGAAAATGAGATGAACCTCTCAATGAGCGCCATCGTCCAGAAGTCGTCCAAAACCTTAGGTTCTCACGACTTGTTTAAAACTCATAAAAAGTCCAGTTTATTCATTGTATATGATGTGACTATTAAAATGACTCCATCTGCGTTTTAACTTTTTGTCATCTTGCAGGACAGGATGTTATGAATACAATAAACAAGGTTATTCGTGTAACTCATAATTTATTATCCGATGAAACACAAGCATTAAAGGACTTGATAGGTGGCCCTGGCAATAACAACAAGAAGATACTGTTACACTTAAAAGAACCAAGCGGCAAAATGAAGCCAATGCATTAGTGCCAAAAACTGCAGTTCCTCTAATGGCCACTTGAGGCTGGCTCCAGAAGCTAGTCGATCCCTATGGACCCACATGTTAAAGTGCCCAACCTTACAGCACGTTCATAGTACAAAATAACAGTTTTGGTCTTTAAAGCTAATTTCAACATTCATGCTAACTGTACAGGGGGGTGAATTTTAATGTAACTCATCCATTTACACTTAATACAGGCTTAAAATTACGCGCAGTTAAAAAGCAGGGCTGCTTTGAGGCATCACCACAGTCGGAGTCACATCTAAAATCCAAAATGGCGATGCTAAAAATGCCAAAAGTTCGAAACAGGAGTCCACAAACCAATAGGTGATGTCACGGAGGCTACATCCGTGATTGTCACATAAAAATGACAAACAAATGTCTTATGAAATGAAATGATATGTGTCTTGAATTTACATGAAATGTGATTAGAAAAGAGTCGCCCATGCAAGTGTTTCTTTTAATGTATTAATTGAAAAAAGGAAGGCAGAGAGAAAGAGACAGTCAGGCCTGTGAAGGAAAAAGAGAGGGCAGTACGGAGGGGGAAAGGGTCACATGTTGGTAGGAGTGTTTGTATTTGGGTTTTCAGCCAGCAATCATCACCGTCATTACCATCGCTATTATAATTTGATGCTTTCGTTGCAACCAGTCTTGGATATGATTTTGTTTTCTTTCTTTTTTCACTCCAGCTCTCCTCTCCTCTCCATCCACCTCCTTCCTCTATCCCAATCGCCAGGATAAACGTTGGCATTGCAGATTTCTGCAAACCACAAATACCTTACATTTGTATGTCGTTATGTAGCAGTTGAAACTTGTGTTTCTTTACACAGCAACAGGTTGCTAGAAAACACCCACGTTTGTGGCTAAAGAAGCAGCTGGAAATGCAGCGATAACTCTCGTGGTCATGTGACACCTAGGCGTCTAGCCCACACCATCCACCATGCCCTCCACCTCCTGAAGTCAGCTCATACGTCATACCTGTGGTTTGCAGAAACGTACAGAGCCAAAATTTTCCTCTGGCTCCCTGTCTTCCTCATCTCTTAATCCCTCCAAACATTCTTTTCTTTGCTCCTGTTCTTTATTCACTTTCTCCCCTAGTATCTTCCTCTCACTGCCTCCTTTCACACCTGATTTTGTCCACATTACTTCCTCTCTCTTTCATTTACTCTGCCCTTCCTCCCTCCAGTCTGAGGCCTGCATCTGTCCGTGTTATGTAATCAGAGGACAAGAGTCTCTGCACCCCGAGGCTTCTCTGTCTCTCCTCTTTCTCCCAGTCACTCTCATCACTAATCCATACGACAAATCATTATTTACAGATTGACAACTCCTGACAGATAATGGAGATAACTGCGAGAGTTACAGAAAAATGTTATCAATCATAGATAATAAATTATGTCATGATAAGAAAATCATACAAAAAATTATGGTGTGCAGAGAAATTTTGATAGAGAAACATTCTCTATTTTATGCTGCAAATATTTGTATGTGTTCAATGATCTTTTGGCAGTTAGGTTTAAAGAAATATTAACATGATGTTAAATTATTAAGTAGTAAAAATGTGGACAGAGAGTTAATTTTATTTAAGATTTTTTTAATTTGCTTTTGCCTTTATTAGATAGGACAGTCTATGTGTGAAGGGTGAGAGAGAGGGCATAGAGCAGAGCAGCCGCAGGCAGGAACCAAACCCGTGGCTGCTGTGACAAGGGCATTGCCTTCGTATATGGGACATCAGCTCCAACCACTTAACCACTGGGCACCCTGGAGAGCTCATTTTAAGTCTAATGTTTGTCCTCTTTAAAAATAGCCATTGGTGTGATGTGGGGGAAAATTAAAACAAGTCATAGATTTAATGTTAGACTGCTGGGGTGCCTTCAATCTGGGGCGCCATTTTGCTACGGTGTCCAGGTTGAACAACATGATTCCTCGAAACAGTGTGAAACAGTGTGCAATGGGCTTCTCATTCGGTGGATGTGTCAGAAGTGTACCCAATCAGCAGCGACGTGTATACAAACCAAATTCTGGTAGATCTTTACTTAGTAAACATACAGTTTTTCTCATGCCATTAAACAGGGTGGCCACAGGTCCTTAAAGTTTTAAAATGTGTTAAATACACGTATACAAAAAAAAAGGCCTTAAAAAGTATTAAAATGTCTCAAATTCGGATTGAAGGGGTCTTAAATGTTTTTTTAGTCACATCACTGATGTCATTTTTGGTGTTGGTGCCAAAGGAAACATCATTTTAACAGGAGGGAAACACTATTTGACAGGGTACCATTCTTTGACACAATGTCTATGTGTGCTCAATGCTCCTATTTTTCCCCTCTCACACACCTAGGTCACGCAATGCATCTGCATTGTTAAACTAGGACATGCAAGCTATGGAAAAATGGGGAAAATGCAAGTGTAGGGACAAATAGATTAAAAGAATAAAAACAATTACTCGTTGTGATTAAAGCCAGGGCCTGTAAATGTTTATGAAGCAAACTGCGCTGTATGTCCAAGGTGTTTCAAATGTGGTAAAATGGGGATCAGGGCGGTGGAGTCGCACATGCAGAGCCGTAAGCACAGAAAGTATCGTCAGGGTCATTTTTACTGTTTATTTTGAACTGACATCATTGTGTTTCCCTGGAAAGAGTATATTTTCGCTTTTGGTGTGTATTTTCATCACAAATTTGGTCTTAAATTTTATTTAAACTGATTTTAAAAAGGTCTTTAATTTGTTTACACCTGTAGGCACTCTGATGAAGCCCCTTTGAACTGAATCCAATTAAAACCTGCTGTATTTAAAGGCAGCGCTCTTACGTTACACAACAGGATGTTCAACGTGCCGCTGTTTCTGTTTAAGTCAACATTTTGCTACGTTTTGTCGTGGCTCAGTACAACCCTGGTTTAAAGTGGATGTAGATACGTACGTGTTATTATGGAGTCATTGTTGAATGCACAATGTAATGGCTATAGAATTAAGACACCATCTGCATTTAGATTGGTTTCCTATTAGCATCGCTTTCACTGTGCAGTTCTGTCGGCCACTGGGTATGATCCTCCAGGAAAATGAGGGCTCCATTTACTGCACAGAGGAAGTGCGTCAACCTTTGCACAACCATAACATAAAGAGGATAGCTCTTATTTTTCCCGAAAGCCATTGGTGGCTGTTCCCAGTTACCAAGGATTATCAGTGGAAGTTCTTTGCAGTTACCATCACCAGTAGCAGAAACATTATTTGCACAGTTTGGTAAAACATCTGTAGGAGGTAAGACAGGTCTTTTGTGCAATCACAGGTTAAAATTTACAATAAAACACAATGGTATTGTTTTTTGTTTCTTTGTTTACAAGCCAACCCGAACTCATGTGTTACAGCCGCATACACTCGTAAACAACTCCCTTACTCAAGATCTATTTGGTAAACTTTCATCCTGCGACGCTGGAAGATTTTGGTGGCTGGAGAAGTCGAATAAAATCACATTCAAGCCTCTAATTTAGGCTAAGCATGACGAATTTGTCTGCACTCTTTGTCCCAGTTCACCCTCTGTGGACTCTTATTAAACCTTGTGTTCAGGGGTCATTTCCTGTTGTTGGTTTGGATTATGTTCTCACAGCACAGTTTGTTGGGAAGAGACTCTCCTCTGAGAGTGAATAAAGCACTTCAACTATGTTTGGTGTTGAGCCTAAAACCATTTATTTTCTAAATGACAAAAAAAGGTAATGTACCTGAACGTTAAGGAGGAACCAGAATGCTTTTTTTAATAAAAGGGGAAAAGGAATTTTTAAAATGACGTAAGCCAGCAACAAAATCCTTATTAACAAAGTGAACTCGTGATGAGAGTGACGGAAAGAGATTAGTTGTTCCCAGAACCACAGGGAGGTGAAGAGTTCTTATTTTTGGAAGACTGTTCACCTCTCTGTTTGATTTCCAAATCGTGTGTGAAGCCTTTTGAAGTGCAGGATTTGTCTTTTAAGCAATGCGTGATAGAAGAGAGAAGTTAAGATTAAAAACATGAAATCCTGTGCATTATTAAATGTGTGTGTGTGTGCGTGTGTGTGTTTGTGTTACAGGGTAACAGAGTTGATGGGTTACACTCCTGAGGATCTGCTGGGTCGTTCAGTCTACGACTTTTACCACGCCCTGGACTCAGACAGCGTCACAAAGAGCCACCACAACTGTAAGCACACACGTGTACACACTCAGATGTAAAACTTATATGAAGTGATGATAAACTATGACTTTTTTTGACATACTATTCTATGACTTTTTCAACATGCTATACTATGACTTTTTCGACATGCTACACTATGACTTTTTTTGACGTACTATTCTATGACTTTTTCGACATGCTATACTATGACTTTTTCGACATGCTACACTATGACTTTTTCGACATGCTATACTATGACTTTTTCGACATGCTACACTATGACTTTTTTTGACGTACTATTCTATGACTTTTTCGACATGCTATACTATGACTTTTTCGACATGCTACACTATGACTTTTTCGACATGCTATACTATGACTTTTTCGACATGCTACACTATGACTTTTTTTGACGTACTATTCTATGACTTTTTCGACATGCTATACTATGACTTTTTCGACATGCTACACTATGACTTTTTCGACATGCTATACTATGACTTTTTCGACATGCTA